ATATATATATATATATATATATATATATATATATATAAAACTTGCATATGGAAGACCTAGATTTTTAAATATCTTCTAAACGTTTCTAATTATTTCACCAATTTATTTCAAGCTAATGTTTAATATCGGGTATATATCGGTATCTACAAGATCGCATACTAAACAGAAAGAATGGTAATAACGAAGCAATAAAATTCAGTAAAGAGTTTAAAGTGATTATGTATTGAAAAGAAAAAAAAAAGTTACAGGTGATTATTTAACTAGTATTTTAGTTTTGGTGTAAAAAAAAATTAAGTATTTTAGTATATGCAATATCCATATTTTTTTTATTCATTATCAAGAAGTATTTTTTGTGAAAATGTTATGTATAGACTAAATATTTATTACATGTAATTAAAACTTATAATAAATTATATGTATAAATGAATATCATATTTGAACATATAAATTATATTTAAAATTTGTATAAATAAATATTTTTAAATAAAAAATTATATTTTAGATTTAAATCACATTAGATTATTTATGTTTATTGATAATGTATTTAAAAATATTAAAATTTAATTTATAAATAATTGTACTAAATAAAAATATATTTAGATAAAATGTTAAAAGAATTCTTAAAAATTCTCTCGTAAAAAATAATTTTTAAAAACATTATTGCATAAGATAGTCATTCATATTTAATATATAAGAATCGACAATCAGTCAAAAGAAATAAAAAAATTCATGCATTCCCCCAAAATATAAATAGAAATAAAAAAATATATAAACAAGAATTTTAAAAGAGAAAAATTGACATAGAAATAATAAAGATGTATTAATAGGAATCAAAATATTGAGTCAACAATTAACAAGATATAACTCAATTGGTTAAAAATGATGTATGGATATTGTAAATAACTTCTTTTTTTATTTGTCTCTGGAGTATTTACCGTTGATAGCAGTAACTAATTTGGCACCTCAAAAGGTGAGATAGCTGGTCCCAAGATTTAACGCGGCTGCATACAAGGCAGGATATTGTAAATAACTTTAGTACTGTATTCTTATGGATAAAAAAAATTAACAAGAAAGAAGAAGTAGAAAGTGTACAGTAAAATAAATTAAAATACTATATATGTCTCGTAATAGCAAGCATAAAAAATGACTCATAATAAATGTTGTTTTGAGTTTTTCTTATGCAGATAAAAAATTAAAATGAAATTTAATTTAAAACTTACTTTTTTTAAGCAACATTTATGAGACAAGGAACAATAATTAGTTGTTAAGTATTTTAATCACGGACTAAACTCTAAGGTGAGCAATGTAAATTAATTATTAGTCCAATGTAAATTAATTAAGGCGCTGAGAGAAAAAAAATTACTAAAATATTTCCAATGTAAATTAATTCAATTATTAATCGGAAAAAAATATATTCAAATCAAATAAAATAATGTTTAATTTAATTTAGTTTGGACTGAATGTAAAATTAAATCCAACTCAAACCAATGTTTTACTCTTAAATTGTCTCAATTAATGTAGAATTATTTTAATTTAATTAAAAATAATTTCAAATTTGTTTATAATATATCAACTACTATATATAAAATATAAACCACTATCTTGTTGGAGGGTATTTTTAGAAAAAAAAATTACAAAAGAATTTCTGTTATCTTCATATCTAATTTGTTTTTTATTTATCTTAATTATTTTTTAATTAAATTTTAATATTTTAAAAATAAACTTTAAAATAAATAAAAATAATCTTGTATTGTAGTTATAAACTATTAATCCTAAATATAATTTATATATTTAAATATAATATTTATTTATATACGTAATTTATTTTAAATTTTAATTATATGTAATAAATGTTTAACTTATGTAGACTAAAATATTAGTAATATATAATTGTTTTGCTACTCAAAAGGACGATGCACGAAGGAATCTAATCCCAGCATGAAAATCTCGTAAAGAATGCTAGTCATTAGTACTCAAAAAATTAGCTTTTACAACTAGATTTGGATTAATTGAACGGTTGTTTAATTTTTAAAACTTAAATTTATGACTTTCAAAAGTGAAAATAATTAACAAATTAAATTGACATTACAAACTATTTATGATCTATTTCTTTTTTTTTTTAACAGCTATAATCAATTAGGTAAGACATAGATCATAATATTAACTTAAATTTTAATTAGTATTTTAGGTTATATAATGTACAAAATAAATATTTGTATACAATTAAAATTTACAAATTTTTTCGCAAGAAATTTTGTTGGAATATTTTTTACAAAAAAATTAACAACAAAATTAAAGAAATTACTATAAATTCTATCAATAATTTTTTAACTTTCAAACGCTCATAATGAATTCATCCGAAGCATTTATTTCCATGCCTCCAACATGTGATACATAATCTTTTAAATTCTAAGATTGTATTATAACCTTAACACTCAACCATGGCTACCAACCTCGGCGGTGTACGCCTCATTGGCCTCCAGGGCAATCTCCAAAGACTTTTGAGTCCTTTAAATATCCCTCCTCGAAGCTTGAAGCTCAACCTCAACCTTCTTCACATCCTCCAGCACGACCCTCAAGGCCCGGTTCTCCTTATCCGAAGGCAGAACTCAGCTCCAAGCGCTCTTAAGCTCTCCTTGCAGCTTTTTCCACCTACACCTCCAGTAGTCCACAATGGCGATAGACCTCTGCAGAGTCTAGGCCCTCCACTGGACCAACCTTCTCGATCATCGCCTTGTCAGCCGCAAGGATTGAATCCCCCTTGTAAAAGGCCTAGGCGGTCACCTTGGAACTCCACATCGAGTCTACGTCCGATGACATGCTCACGTGATCCAATCTCGCCAGGGGGCGATTAACATCAAAGCGTTGAATAATGCACTTCCCCCTTGGAACACCTGGAGGAGGAGGGGCAGCGCAGCGGTAAGAGGAGTTGGCGTCGGTGCCCCAGAGCTCGGCCCCTTCCCGCGAGCCTCGGCAAAAGTGGGCGTCAGACCAACCTGCACAACAGCAGGAGAACCCGGCGTTGGCACCTCAGAGCTCGGCTCCAGCGAGCCTCGGCAGAAGTTGGCATAGGACCTGCCTACATGAAACACAGAAAATTTTCTGAGTTAACATCATGCAACACAGAAGAAAAATCATCGGGTAAAGACACAAACCTGTGTCTCACGAGCGGCCTCCTCCACGACCACTCTAGATGACCCCTCAGGCAGAGGACTCCCGGTGAGATCGACCGGGTTGGCGTCGGCGGCCTTCGAGGTCACCTCTTTAGAATCGCGAGGGGCCAAGGTCTCCCCGACCCTCTTCTCTCCCCTCTTCCTTTTTCGGCGAGTCTCTAGAGAAGCAATCTCCTCCTCCCCAGGCTTGGGAACCTCAAGCTCCTCCGTGTTATAACGCGCCTTCAGCTTGCGCCATTTGCTTTTTCCCATTATACCTACAAACACAAAGAGCCCAACACATAAGAAGAAGAAAAAAGGACAGAGAATCTAATAACCAAGAAAGACGAGGTACTCACTCTCCAAACCCCTCTCCTTATTCGCCAAGTTAGTAAGCGACAAGACGAGCTTGCAATCCAAGGGACGAGGAGCGCGGCTAGGTCGGCAATGGGAGTAGTATCCGAATCCGACAGCCGAATGCTGCTCGACCCATTAAACTTGATCAGATTCTGTTTCCAGAAGAAGGTGAACCTTGACAACCCGCCAAAGTGGAAGACTTCATCGACCAGCGGGTCGGCCTTAGCAGGTCGAACTCGGAAGAACTCCTTCTTGAAGCTCTTATATGTCTGGGAATAAAGCTAGAACAACCCCCCAGCCTTACTCCTATTTAGAGACACCCAACCCAGGGGAGGATCACCCAATTTAAGCTAGTAAAAATGAAGAAAAAAGGGCAACGACAACCCTATCCCCAGGGCCGAGCATAAAACTTGGAAAGCCATCAAAAAACCCCAACTATTGGGGTGCAGTTGGCAGGGAGCCACATTGATAAAATT